GCGGGAACTGTTCTTCTGCCCCTGCCCGGAGCATCTTGTGTAGGTGGGTTTTCCTGGGGAGAAGGCTAGTGCCGGCCCTAGTCACCGGGAGAAGACCAGCAGGCAGACCTCCACTTCTTTCACGTTGTTCTTGACCTCAAAGTCGGATCCTTCAGTGCATGCCTCCAGAGTGATCAGCCTGGGCTGTTTTATTTTTTTCACCAGAAGCAAATACCTTGAGAGGGCTTGGAGGGACTCCAGGGATTTTGTGGCAGTCTGAGACATTGATCTCAATTTGCCTCTTCCCCAGAATAACAATGTCAGTTACGAGAGCAGCTTCTTGCCGCTGATGAGCACTGTGCTCAGGGCTTCTAGTTTTCCCAGGAGTCCTGCGAGACGAGCAGGAGAGGTCCCCTTGCTGCAGCAGAGGGAGCTGAGGGCTCAGAGGTAAGGGGGCACCCCATGGTCACAGCAAGCAAACGGTAAAGGCAGGCTCGGACCCCAGGTCTGGCTCACTCCTCAACACCACGCGGCATGTAGGAGAGAAGGGCCGTTGGGGAAGGAGGTCCAGCTGCTTGGATGACTTCCTTCCCCAGCCTCATGGCCCCGCCCCCAACCTCAGGCCCTGAACTCTTTCCTTCAGTTCCCTCTTGGGGCCGCAGCATCTCAGGGAGGAAAATGGGAGGAAAATGCTCTCCCAGCCCAGAGCTGTGCCCTGAGGCACAACCGTCTTGTCCCCGGGGCCCTTTCCTCATGACTTACACCTCTTGTTCCTTCTGCCTCCTCTCTTCCTACCCATGTCTGGCTGGGGCTGAGTTAATTACCTCTAACAGCAGTTGTGCCCAAGAAGAGGGATGATAAGAGGCCGAGGAGGGCAGGGTGCCATCTGCCAACCCTGATCCCTCAGTCTGGAGGCTGGTGGGGGGGCGGTCCCATCATGATCTCGAGATCCCGATTGATGCCAAGACCCTGGGGCATAAGGTGGGGATGGAGTCAGCCCAGGGATCAGCCATTGCCTCGGAATGACTGTAGGCTGGGTTTGGGGATGGGGTACAGACAGAAGTAAGTAGGAGAAAGAGGAAAACAGCCAGCAGACCTAGAAACAGTAGAGCTTAGTTCTAGCTCTAGATCTGCCACTACCTACCTATCTTTGCACTGGAGGAACCCTGGCTTCTTTTCCTATGTGGGGTAGGAATGATTAGACATTTTAAAAAGACACAAATAGGGAAAAGGGACAGGGTTTTTGGATTGACCCTGTGTCTAAAAATAATTTTATACATCAATACTAAACAGAAAGATTATTCCTATAAAGGTAGAGAAAGTTAGAGCTGTGATGATCCTAACATAGAACATTCTATATGCTCTTATTTTATGTAGCTACAGACAAGAGAGGTCAAGAGAGCTAGCTACTGGTGCACTCCAAAGGCCTTGGCTTTGAGAGGCACTGGGGCCCAGACCTGCTTCGCATTGAGGGATGCAGAAGCCGTAGCTCTAAAGCTCTGTGTTTCCAGGAAGCTCAAGAAGAAAGAAGGAGGGGCAGGTGACACGTACTGGATTTGACAGATAATAAGTCTGCTTTTTACTTTCCCCTAAAAGCACTCCCATTGCAAAGACAGCTGATGTAATTAGGAGCCAATTTGAGGGCTGCTCTTGCAACGCATAAAGCCCCTCCTTAGGCTGGGCATCTGGCTTCCCAGCTGCACTGTGTCTGCCTCTATCAGCTGTATCCGCTGCCCTGGGCAGCAAGATCGGGTTAGAGGTGAATGCTGCCGGCTGGGGTAATCTGACCATCAGATTAAGACCTCCTCAAAAGGCACCATCTGGCTGCCTGAGACCCCAAGCCCATCCTCGGGGGAGCACTTGGCGGTTGCAAAATGCTGTCTGCCTTCCGTCATGCCTCCCGCACTTTGTGTGTGGAGATCCAGTTGGCAAGAAGAAACTGCTGGTGAAAAGTACAGAGTGGTGTAACCCCTGTCCTCATCTGTACAAAGATGGTAAAGAGTCAGACACCTCTCAGGGAATCACAAAACTTTAGAGCCCCCAGAGATTACCCAGTCCATGCTAGAGAGGAAGAAAATGAGGTTCACACAGCAGTAAGTCTTATCTAAGATTATAGAGTGGTATTTTCAGGACGAGATTTGTAACCCAGGACTTCTGATATACTGAGAAGATTCTTGATAACTTTCTCCTGGGCCCCTCCATTTCTTTCTTTGAAGGAAACCAAAGAGAAGGAGGGGAATTTTAAAGCTTGGGGACAGGGGTGTGAAAGGGCTGGATTTTCCCTGCACTGGTGCTGTGGACCTGATCAAACTTGAATACGAAATCCCCAAACCAGAGTGTTCGCAGAGCCCTGCCTGTCTGGAGGGGCTCAAAGCAGAGTTGAGTCTAAATTACAGTGGCCAGCTCTAGTAGGTCGGATGGGAGGGCTTAGCAAGAGATGGAGCCAGAGCCGGAGCTGTGGAGTGACTTGGACTAACCAGTCAGTCATCGCAGATAACCTGTACACGTCAATATGCTGCCACCACCTTGTCCTAAAAACACACTGTGGAGGAACGGTGACCCCATCGCTCCTGTCAGAGGGCAGGGCAGTGAGGGTCCCAGTCTGGTCTCTTCAAGATGCCCTGACTCTGGTCTCTTCAAGATGCACACATCTCTTCACGGCTTGGGTGGAAATTCATAAAATCGGCCGCTGATCTTTTGCAGATAAGGGTGTAAAGGCTGGGCACCCTCCCTGGGCCCATGGCATCAAGAACAACTGGTTGTTGGTCTCCCCAGCCCACTCCATGATTTACAGTCATGGCGGAAGTCAGGAAGGACCCTAGAATCTGGTATCTTCCACTCTCTTTCCTTTTCTTAGTTTGAAAGAGCCTCCTTGTCATGATCATTGTGACTGTGCCAAACCCAGGGCCCTGGGGCTTCCCCGACTTTCTCCCTGCTAGGAACATGTATTTTCTCTCAGTGTCACACCCCTTCTCTACTATACCTTGATTGATCTGTGATGAACATCTGTCAGCCAGGGGTTTCTGGGGGCCTTGAAGGATACTGAGGAGACATCAGAGGGACTTTTTCCAAAGAAGAGCATTGCAGCTTTGCTAGACCACTAGGAACCGTGACCTGTCTCTTTACTGAAGGCGCCGGGGGAACAGCCTGTCGTGGAACCACTCTGCTGTGGGATGGGCCCTAGGCAGCAGAGAATGCAGAAGATGCTTCTGCTAAGTTCGACGTCTTGGCACATCTAACGGTGTGATTGAGTGGGGTTCAGAGGCTCAGTTCAGGCCTGCGAAACGATCCCAGACATCTGTGGTCATAATTCCCCTTGGGAAGGATCTGTTCTGCCCTGATACGCCTGAGTAGGGATGTCCAGTGGCCTCCCGCCCTCCCTTCCTCCTGTGTCTCCCCCGGGGTGGGGTGTGAAGGGCGGTAGGGCTCCTGTCTCTGGACGTGTTCCTGTGGAACCCCGCTCTCGGTACTAATCACGCTCAGTGGGGGCCTCTGCTCCGGCTTCCGCTTCTCCACGCCTGCTTCCTCTGAGCGCTCCTGTCCTCTCTCTGACGCTGCTTCCTGACCTTGACTCTGACCAGTCGCCGCGGGGCTTTCCTTTGTGCTTGATCTAACCATGTGGTGGAACGATGGAAACGGAACATGGTTCTGTCAAGCACCGCGGAAAGCACCGCGCTCTCCTGCAGCATGGCCCGCCACCGCTGGACACCTCTTCTCTGCTCTGGAGCACCGCAGCCCACCACCCGCCAGACCCGCCTCTCTTGGTCCAGCCTCACGAAGGGCGGGGGGGGGGGGTAGCAGCTTGTGGTCACTGGGGAGCATCCTTCTCAGCTCCTGCTCACCTGCCGCCTGGCGGTTGGGGCGGGGGGGGGGGGGCGGGGCGGGAGTCTCGAAGGATTCACAGAGCACCTCCAACTCCTGGTAGCAGATCTGGGCTGAAATAGGGATGGGGAAGCGTACGGGGGACAAGCTGAGATCTGCATCCACGTCTCTATCCCAAATGGAGCTGCCATCCCCCAAATCTAGTCAGGATGCCAGCCAAGTGGTAAAGTAGCTAGGTCTGAGCCCAGACACCCCTGTTTTTCTTCTTGAAGAGAACACGTATACCCAAGGCGTA